GAAATTTCTGTGAATGGTTTGGCTAAACAGAGGAGTGAAGGAGAGCTATAAGTGTTTGAAAGGTATCAACTAGGGATATTAGGAAGCAAGTAATTAGCTAATCGTGTAGTTGATTATTTGATAAGGGAGGAAGCTTTTGGGAGCTACCACCCACTGTGGCTGTGCAGTTTAAATGTAGTAAGAGCTGGGGCAGCCTGCAGCCTGGCTCTACTACATTTAAACTGCAAAGCCACAGCGAGGGTAGCTCCTGGACCTGGCGCGAGCCGGGATTGAGCCAGGCTTGCTCAGTCCTGGCTCGTGCCGGGTCCAGCAGCCCCTATCCATGGGGGGGAGGGGTCCACGCTGGAATCCTCTGTGGACTGGGGCTGCTGCCGGAGCAGCCACTGTTTGCAGCCAGCCCGTGGGATGCGGAGCAGCCACTGCCCATAGCCAGTGGCAGGGGCACCGGGGGGGGGGGAGGCAGCACTGTGGAGATGGTGTTAGGGGGGAACCGGCTTTTAAGTAACCTCCCCCCCTCGCCCCTCCTTTGCTGCTGGGGAATGCGAGTAGTCGACTACTCACTTGCATCCCTAATATGAACACCGTGGAGAGCGAGGGAGGCATTATTTATGGTAATTCAACACAATATCCAGAATACTGGGGGAAATGGACTGAACAGGAAGAAAAACCTAATGCTGAAGTTTATTAAACAGTGAAATTGCAGTGAACCCAGCAGAAATCTCATCACTTTAAATCATATTAGTAAACTGGGCAAAGGAACACTCCGGCCCAGTTCTGCATTGGCAGGGGGCAGATAAGACATGAATTGATGGGTCCCATAATACCTGTTCTAAATTTTTTTTTCTCATAAGAGGCTATAAAATATCATCTAAACTACTGGTAGTTTTTCTTGTCGTCCTCCCATCCACCCTGGGATGAATTTCCTGGGAATTACGGCTATTACATTCTATCATTGGGATCTACGTGCACGCGTGGTCATCAAATCTCCTTCCCAGTTAGCCAGAGCCTGATTAGCCAGAGCCTGATGTTGGGACTTTGTTTGAAGATCATTTCCTTGCCAATGCTGCAGCGTTTTGTTCATGTCTATGTTGTCCATTCCGTATTTATGGGAAACAGACGTCTACATGTGTTCAATTTTCTTTGCAGGTTTGTGTGCTTTGCGCAGAGCACTGGGAGAACAAACTAACCTGTTAGACAACGAGATGGCTGGGTCAGTGATGGTTACTCTCAATGACTTCCTGCAGGGGATGAATGATATCAGGCCCAGCGCCATGAGGGAGGTAGCTATTGATGTGCCAAAAGTAAGTCACATTCCACAGAACATTAGAGACGTTGTTAAAGTTAAACCTTGTAAACTCATAATGAGGCTAAGAGAGGTCTCCAATAAATGTTCGTGCATCATTTTTCTTACATGTTAAATTTGTTTTGGTGTTGGCATTGGTTATTCAGCGTGAAAAGTAGGCACTGCAGTCTTATGTTAACTTATACTCTGTTCTCAAGATCTGAATAGGATAATTGATTAAAAGTCTAACCATGTACTGTGACGTAGTGGGGGTACCTGGCTGGTTTCTATGCTGCTGGCTCTGGGGTAACCCCCACTGGCTGCTGTGGGTACCACGACCCAGCAAAACAGGATGAGTCACTATGCAAACGAGTATGGCCAGACACCCCCCATGGAGAGGAACAAAGGAAGGTGGAATGCTGCCCTGGCTGGGGGGCAGGGCTGGAAGAGAGTTAGTTGGCTGGCTGTCTGGGAGCATGGAGGAGACAGCCTAGGGAAAGGGGCTGGAGTTTAGGGGCCCGGTCTCCCCCATCTCAAGGGGGCCTGAGGCATCCTAGCCCAGCTCTGTGACCAGATTACATCTGTGCTGTACTGTATCCTGGAGAGGCAATAAACTTCCTCTATTCCACCGGCTGGTGCAGTCTGTTTGTGCCATTTCGGGGTGCAGAAGACGGGGGACCCCCAACGTGCCGTCACACCATGTAAGCTTAAAACAGGCACTGAACAGGTCTTCGCTTCTAAGCCTCTAATATTGCAGCAACCAATTCAATTAGAAACAAAACATTGGCTTTTGCCACCAAAATCTGTTGAAACAAGGCTATGAAAAGGCTTAGAGATGTAGCCGTGTTAGTCTGGTGTAGCTGAAACAAAATACAGGACTAACAAGATGGTTTATTAGATGATGAGCTTTCGTGGGCCAGACCCACTTCCTCAGATCAAATAATGGAAGAAAATAGTCACAACCATATATACCAAAGGATACAATTAAGTCTGGTGTAGCTGAAACAAAATACAGGACTAACAAGATGGTTTATTAGATGATGAGCTTTCGTGGGCCAGACCCACTTCCTCAGATCAAATAATGGAAGAAAATAGTCACAACCATATATACCAAAGGATACAATTTAAAAAAAAAATCAACACACATGAGATTAGAGGTGATAATTGGGGAAGCTATCTTTGTAATGGGTGAGATAATTGGAGTCTTTGTTAATTCCCCTGCGGAGAGTGTCGAATTTTAGCATGAATGCCAGTTCAGAGGATTCCCTTTCAAGTGCAAATTTGAATGTCTTTTGAAGTAGGATGCAGGTTAGCAGGTCATTAAGACTGTGTCCTTTCTGCCAAAGGATGAATGCCCACAAAACAGATATCAGACAAGATCACAAAGAGAAAACAGTTTCTTGCCATTTTAACCAGAAAGGACACTCTCTCAATGACTTAACCACCTGCATTCTGCTACAAAGACCTTTTACATCTGCACTTGAAAGAAAGGGAATCCTCTGAACTGGCATTCATGCTAAAATTCGACACTCTCCGCACGGGACTTAACAAAGACCCCAGCTATCTTACCCATTACAAAGATAGCTTCCCCCATTATCACCTCTAATTCTATTAACTCACAGACATCTCCCCTTCCCCACCTCTAATATCATTAACTCACTGGCATTCACCTCCTCCCCCCCCTCCCCCACATCCCCCTTCTGTTCTGTAATGTGATTTGTCCTTTTCATGTGTGTTCATTTTTTTTAAATTGTATCCTTTGGTATATATGGTTGTGACTACTTTCTTCCACTATTTGATCTGAGGAAGTGGGTCTGGCCCACGAAAGCTCATCATCTAATAAACCATCTTGTTAGTCTTTAAAGTGCTACATTGTCCTGCATTTTGCTTCAACTACCCCAGGCTAACACGGCTACATTTCTATCACCAATCTGGAGGGGAGCTAGAGCGTTAGTGTGGGAACCTTGAGTCTCGAGGGCCACACTCACGTGAGCTGGGGTATTAGGTTCCTCACCCCTGCTTTAAAAACAAAACCTCTTACTCTTAAAAATCGATCCCCGTATCTCTGGTCGGACCAGCTTCACGCAGGTCCTCGGGGATGGAAAACTGCAGCAAACTGTATGAACAGAAACAAACAGAAGCCCCAATCGCAGCTGGAGGTGGGGCGAGGCTGCCCCAGCAGGGACACAACGGGGCAGCCGCCCTCCACCAGATCAGGAAAACAACCGCGCCATTCCCCGGCCAGCAGGAAGGCGAGTGCCGCTGCAAGGCTCCGCAAGGGAGGTGGGCGGCAGAGGGGTGTTTGTGCGCGGCCGCGCGCCTTCAGCGGCAACTCCCCTGGTGCCCCCTTCTCTAGTCCAGCCAGGCCTAAAATGCTCAGTGCTTAGAAGGCGGGTGGGGAACCTAAGGCCTGGGTGCGTGGGGCTCCTCCACCGTCGCCCCCTCCCCACGCCGTGGGGCTGGAGCGCACAAAGCGACTAGGCTGGGCCCTGCAGTGCTCTGGCGCCAGGGGGACGTTTCTCCGCTCAGCTGGGGGCCAGGCAGGGAGGCTTTTCTGTCGGTTGGTTTGTCTGTCACCTGTTTGCCCCCCAATTCTCAGCCACTCCCCCCCTCTCCCCACACGCCCCCACCCAGGACGCTCTCGGCCTCTGCAGGAGGCACAGCCGGGCACTGGGCGGC